GAAGAGCTGACTGAAAAAAAAAAAAAAAAAAAAAACAATAAAAGAAAAATTGGCTTCATCCTGGCTCAAACCAGGACACCTGCCCATAAGACAGTGGCAAAGGCCATGCAGTGTTGGGAAGGTTACCCAAGGGGTACCCAAGGGGTTGAACCCCTTTTGAATAAGTTCTACCAAATGAAATAGTAAAGAACACCTGGGTTTCAAGAGGTTGGATCTTTGAGGGGTTAAGCCACTTTTTGTTGTTGTTTTGGTTTTGGGGCAGGCACAGGGACACTGGCTGGTGGCAGAGGATGGTGGGCGACCAGCTTGGAGCGAGGGTTGAAGCACTGGCCACAGCCCTGGCAGCTGAAGGGCCCTTCACCCACTCTGGCTGGGACAGGGTTAACGTGGAGTGGGGATGGGAACCACAGGAGTTGAGGTAAAGAGTCAGCCCAGAGCCAGAAGGTCCCAGGAGAGGATCAAGGCTCCAGGGCAGAAGCCACCTTGAGAAGGGTTGGGACATGGTGTGAGGAGGGATGGGGACACCATGACAACCACAGCTTTATTTAGGACCACTGGGACAACCACAGCCTTATTTAGGGACAAAGCACAAGAGCTGGAGGGTCCTGGGTGGGGTGGTTACAAGAGAATTGACCCCACAAGGGGCATAACCAGAAGGGTGCAGGTGCTCCCAGAAGTGGGTCTTGGGGCCTCCCAGCACCCATATACAGTCTGTCCCTCCTTGGGAGTTCTGGGGGTCTCCCAGAGGTTGTGGGTTTCCCTCCACCACTGCAGGTCTTTTCTCCTGGGGGTTGCACCCTGCTTCTTCCTAGAGGTGCTACAAATGTTTCTTTGGCAGTACCATGCATGTCCCTTTGAGTGGAATGGGGGGTGAGAGAGGGCCCAAGAAGCCCTGCACCCCACAGGATGATGACTGAGATCCTGCACAAAACAAATTAGGACTGAGACTCGGGTCTGGAGCCCCCACTATCCCCCCAAATAAATAGCACCCCACTTAAACACCCACCTGCAGTGGGGAGCATCCTTGCACCCCACGGTGGGACAAAAGAGGTATTTTTGGGGAGAAGGTCCTAACCTCCCAGCACGTGATGGTTTCTCCATCGTTTCACACCCCTAAAGCCATGAGGGATTGATCCATTACCCCTTTATATAATTTTATTACTTTATTAATACAAAGTAACCTCCAAATGGTATTAAGCTTCATGTTAGTTGTGTGCGTGTGTGTGTCCCAGCTTCTGAACCACCACAGTTGGACATGAACAAACAGAGAACAATTTTGGGGTCTAAGTCTCCCCAAAACAGCATTCTAGAAGAAAAAAGGTATTTTTCACCTCAATAGGACCCAAATCCCACCTCGTTGCCCCATTTTCTCTGCAAATCCCCTCAGTAACTCACCTTAAAATGTTCCACATGGATATTCCCCCTCCAGAAAAATAGCCACATAACCTTTGTCCCTTGAGGAGGGTGTCACCATAATAAAAACTTGGTTTTGGCTTAATTTTGGTAAAAAATGCCAGCTAAAGATGATGAAAAAAAATATATAAATTTGGATGAGACATTAAATGATTCCTGAGATGACAACATTTTATGGTCCATATCCCAATGGATGTGATGAACAAAATCACAGCTCTGGCCCCACCATCTACTCAAAAGGACACTCAAACCTTTTTAGGGACTGTTGGTTTCTGGAGGATGCACATTCCATGTTACAGTGAGATTGTGAAACCTCTCTGTGAGGTGACCTGAAAGAAAAGTGACTTTAAATGGGGCCCTGACCACCAGAAAGCTTTTGAGCAGAGCACAAAGGAGATGGTGCAGGCAATGGCCCTGGGACCAGTCCGAACGGGGCCAGACATCAAACATGTGCTCTACTCTACAGCTGGTCCCAACTGGAGCCTCTGGCAGAAAGCACCAGGGGAGACTCAAGGTCGACCCTTGGGATTCTGGAGCTACAGAGGTTGCAAAGCCAACTACATGACACCTGAGGAGACACTTGCAGCAGATGAAGGAGTTAGAGCTACTTCGGAAGTGATGGGCACTGAAGCTCCTTCTGGTGCCCAGATTCCCAGTGCTGAGCTTCTAGTTCCAGAATAACCTTTCTCCTGACCATCATGCCACCCACAGGATTTGGAGTAAATGGATTTCTTTAGTCACCCAGTGAGTTCCAACAGGAAAACCTAATCATCCAGGTATTGTAGAAGCAATTCCAGACTGGCCAGAAGGCATCCACTTTGGAATGGCAGCACAAGTGGTGAGATGGGCTCAAGAAGCTCCACCATCTGATCATCTGCCAGAGACTGGGACACAATTTGCTCTTTTCACCCATGGCTCCTGTCGCCTTGTAGGGAACCACCAGCAGTGGAAGCTGCCCTGTGGAGTCCTACACAAGTAGTTGCACAAGAAGCTGAAGGAGAAGGTGAATGGGGTCAGTTTGCAGAAGTCAAAGCCATCCAGTTGGCTTTGAACATTGCTGAGCCAGAGGGGTGGCCCAGACTCTATCTCTACACTGACTGGTGGGTGGCAGCAAATGCCTCGTGGGGTTGGCTAAAGCAGGGACAGCAGAAAAACTGGCAGTGAAAAGGTCAACCTGGTTGGGTTGCTGAGCTGTGGGAAGACATTGCAGCTGGGATAGAGAAACTGGAGGTAAAAGTGCGTCATGTGGATGCACACGTGCCTCTGAGTCGAGCCACTGAGGAACATGGACACAACCAACGAGCAGATGAGGCTGCTCAAGTGTTCCAAATAGACTTAGACTGGGAACATAAGGGTGAGCTCTTTCTGGCTCAATGGGCCCATGACTCTTCAGGTCATCAGGGCAGAGATGCAGCACACAAATGGACTTAACCATGGACACTATTGTGCAGGTGATCCATGACTGTGAGACTTGTGCTGCAATTAAGCAGGTGAAGCGGTTGGAACCTTTGTGGTTTGAGGTGAGGTGGTCACAGTACAGGTTTGGGGAGGCCTTGGCAAATTGACTACATCACACTGCCTCAGAGCCGCCAGGGTAAGCGCTACGTGCTTACAATGGTGGAAACAAGTACAGGATGGTTGGAAACATCTCCTGTGCCTCATGCCACAGCCTGGAATACCATCCTGGGCCTTGAGAAACAAACCTTGTGGAGGCATGGTACTCCAGAAAGAATCACCCTGTCACATCATTTTATTGATCATTTTATTAATAAAAAATAACCCCAAATGGTATCAAACCTCAGGCTGTGCTGCCCTGTCCCCCTTCTCCCAAGTTTCCAGCCACCACAGACGTAGAAGAGCAGAGACCAGTTTTGGGGTTTAAATCTCCCCAAAACAGCACCCTAGAGGACAAAGGCATTTTGCACCTCAAAAGGACCCAATCCTGGGGCATCATTGCCCCACTTTCCTTGCAAATCCCCTCTCAAAGTCACCCTAAAATGTACCATATGGATTTCCCCCCCTGAAAAAATAGCTGGTGCCCCATCCCACCACATCCCCCTTGTCCCTTGAAGGTGTCACCATGATAAAGACTTCTTTGTGGCCTTATTTTGGTAACAAATATCCCTAAACATGACTTAAAAAAAAAAAAAAAAAAAAAAAAGAGAAAAAGTCGGATGGGACATCAAGTGATTCCTGAGCTGACACGGTTTTAGGCTCCACAAGAAGCTGGAAAAAGCATCGTTGGTGGGTCAGAGCTTGGAAAATGAGGTGCCCTTGACCATGCCCCTTTACTCTTGGTGATCCCTGAGGTGGGTCCAGCCATGACGGATGAGATGTGATCTCTGGTAAAACCTCTTCTCGCACTGGGAGCAGCTGAAGGGTCGTTCACCTGTGTGGAGCTCTTGATGGGTCTTCATTGATGAGAGCTGCATAAAACTCTTCTGGCACTGGGGACACGTGTAGGGTTTCTCTCCCGTGTGGATGCGACGATGGTTGAAGAGTGTAAAGCTCTTGCCAAAGCTCTTTCCGCAGTCAGGACACGTGTAGGGACGCTCACCCGTGTGGACCCGGAGGTGACAGATGAGGATTGATCTGTCCACAAAGCTCTTCCTGCACTGGGAACACATGTAGGGTTTTTCCCCAGTGTGGACACGTTGGTGACATATATAAGAACTGCTGGTAATGAAGCTCTTCTCACACTCATTGCATTTGAAGGGTCTCTCACCCGTGTGGATGCGCTGGTGCTGGGTTAATTGGTGGTTGTAAAAATAACTCCTCCCGCACTCCAGACACCTGAAGGGCTTCTCACCCATGTGGATTCGCTGGTGCAGGATTAAATTTGATCTGTTGTTAAAACTTTTCCTGCAGTGGTGGCAGTCGTGGGGCATGGCACCGGGGTGAAGTTGTCACTGTGGGACCAGACATGAGGTGGCTCCAACCGTGCAACCCCTACAGGGCCGCTCACCCCTTGGAATGTGCCAGTGGCCAAGGTGGGCTGAGCAGATCCTGACCCTTTCTGGTGTTTCTCACCAACAGCAAGTTCTTCTCCCACGTGGATTCGATGATGTTTCACCAAGATCGAGGGGTGACTGAAAGCTGCCTGTCCCTTGGGCCACCCAGAGGGGTTTTCAGACAAACGAATCCTCCAATAGGACAATAAAGCTGAATTTTGGTTCAAGCTGTGGCGCCCTCAGGGCACTTCCACGGTTTTGGCCCAGGTGGATCTACCAATGGGTCAGTAAAGCTGAAGCACTGCTGAAACCTTTCCTGCACTCATCGTGGCTGAGGACACCACAAATCTCACGAGTTCCCTTTGGGTGGGGATGGGTAGATGGCTCTCACCCCAAGTCTGTAAAAGAAACCACTGTGGGGTGACAGCATAGGGGTGGCAAATTTCTAGCTGGGGGACAGCAGGCCAAAGCTGTCCCTTGAACTCCCAAAACCCACCTGTGGGAGGGCTCAAAAACTCTGTGTCTTGTGTTTGGGTGGTCAGTGCAGGGTCACATCAAAACAGCTCTGGGAGAAAAAGGGATGCAAGGTGAAAAATGTGGGGCATTGCCCATGGATTTCAACCCCCATCCCATCCTTAACTGGGCTCTACAGGCTGCTCTGACACCCCTAAGGAGTGAGGTGGTGGAGGTTTGGGTGAGGGATCTTGGAGGGGTTCTGGGTGTCTCAACTACTCCTGGGATGCACTGGGTTCCCCCCATTGCACCCACCCTCCAGGACACGATTTGCAGGTACCCCTTTCACTTCTGCCAATTCGAGGGTGGTTTAGGGGTCCCAAGCACTGTGCACCTTTTTGCCTCATTAATAAACATCATTAGTCTACCAATAAACCCTTTAGAGACACAGAATCATAGAGTCATAGGGATTATAAGGGACGTCTGAAAATCACCAAGTCCAACCCCCCTGCTGCAGCAGAAACACCTAGGGAAGATCCCACCTCGTTCATAGGTGTTAAATGAGTCTTTGGCACCTTTAAAACTCATCCAGTCCCACCCCCCTTCCATGGACAACTAGTAGACTTTAGGACTCACAGGTCCCTGTTTGCCTCCTCGGGAAGCTGCCTCAGGGCAGCTCAGGAGATGCTGGGGGAGCTGTGGGGGTGGGGGGAGGCAAGAGGGGTTTGCACATTCCTGAACAAGCTGTCTAGTTTACTTTTCCATTAAGAAAGTCTCTCTCCCTCACTCTCTCTCTCCTTCCCTACCTGGAGATTTCTTGTCCCAGACTCTCATGTCCTCTTTAAAATAATTTTTCAAGAGAGACCACAGGTGGCGTCGCAGTGGGTCCCGTCCCTCTCGCTGCTGTCTCGTAGCAGGACGTCTCTTCTTAATGACTGCAACACGTGACCAGTTGTCTCTAGGAAGAATCTGGGGTTTACTTCCCCACCTATTTGGCACCTTATTCTTCCTGCCAGTCATTTTTTCAATGGCTGAGGTGTGGAAGTGAAGAGAGTCAGAGAGGAGGTCTCCATACTGTTGTGCTTTGAAAGCTACCTCACATACAGTTGGTCTTTGATAACCTTCAAAGCATCCCATGAAGGAGAATATATGGGCATGCGCTGCTGGTACAGCCTGAACAAACCTCCGGAACATTTGTGTGTCACACTCAACATCATCAGGATTTGTGAGTCCATCTTTATCATAGATCACCTCTCGCACAGCGATCTCTCTCAAGTAGGTGATGGCTTTCTCAAGAGTGGGTGTTCTGCTTCGGCGCCATTCGATGTCACCCTTCTGGGGGTATCTCTCTCTCACAGCTGAAAGAAGTCGGTCCCACAGGGTGGTGGTTCCCACCTTACTACTAAGTGCTCTGTCAATACCAGCATCTCTGGCCAGGGATCCCAACTGCTTGGCTTCTCTCTCATCCACATTGTGGGTCTCAGCACCACTATCAAAGCATCGGAGCAGCCAAGGAAGGATTCCCTCACCATCAATGCGGGTGAAGTCCTTTCTCATGAGGCGCAG